ACAACACAGAGTTGTGGCATGATAAGAGGGGAAACTAAAACTGTAAAACGATCATACCGGCTTGCGCAAAGCACGTGGTGGTGTAGTATCAACAAAAAAAAATTTACCGTTCACACAAAATATATTACAATCCAAACTACAGCACAAGTCTTAAAATAGTCTACATTGCCATGCTTAATTACAAGTATTGACAGCTATTTAGAATGCACGACTTTGACAAGTATTTGCGTAACGCCTTCAACATACACTTCAGACAGCTATAAGTTACACGGATTGTTACGCGTGGTTATCCCCCAACATGGCTGACCCCGGTTTTTCAATTTATGCCGACGTCAGGTGCAAACAAAGAATTTATTGCGTTTCAGTTTCTGTTATCCTGTTCAAACAAGGTTACAAGGGAGAGTGGGTGGGTATAGTTCTGCACACATCCAAGTAAGAGAGAGCAGTATGGGAGTCTTGATCCTCCCTCTTTTAAGAGGCTTGAAAACATCGCAGGTTACCACCAATTCCTCCCCTCGATTAGTGTTTCTGAAGGTTGCGTGTGGTCATGCACTATCGGAATAACGTGCACAGCCAACTCAACACCATAGCCCGGTCAGGGTTAAAGTGGACCTCTCAACCCGCTCTCTTGTGCAACCGCCTCTAGCTCCCAGAGAGCTCTTGTACACGTGCACATATTTTTGGAGGGGAAGGAAGGTCGAGAAAGAGACACTGAGACCATCCAAGTCTGTGAGGCAATGCACACCGATTAAACTTCTGAAAATCATTGGTAGAACACAAAAGAGAGGTAACGATAGTCAAATGCGTAAACAAAACATGTGTCATGCAAAGCTGGTCAAAGCACGCGCGGTAAATCTTAATCAGTTGTGCAATCCTGTGCGAGTGCCGCCTTCAAAAGAAAGAAACGTTGATAGGCTTGGACGCGTTACTCAAGGCGTTGTCTTCTCATTCCGGCTTTGAAGCTTCGAAAGGCGTTCTTAAGTAAAGCGATTTTTTTCTACCAGTATATTTCAGTCTTTATTAGCTCATTTCGGTCTTAAGTGACATGGAGTTTCCGAAGTTTCTGTGGTCTGGTTAAAAGTAACACTTCGCATGTGGAAAGAATTGAAATTTCGATCAAGTGTGAACAGAACTGATTTCAATCCTTACAGACTGGATCACAAGAGGAAAAATTCCGAATTAGAAACGAATATAATGCCATTTTATGGGGAAACGGGGGTGTCTAGAACATGCAAACCAGTATGCTGCAACTGGATAGAAATGGTTTGTGATAATTCACTTCGCAAGAGACTGATGCGACCCAGCAAATTATCTGATGAGCGTAGCAGTTAAAAGTGATTTAATCGTTGATCAGACAGTTGTGATCGTCCAGATGAAGGAATTCTTGCATAAAAACACTTTTGTCAGTGACAGTGATTGGTGTTTTAACAATATCAAAAATAACAAAAGGCTTACTCCCTTAGAAAGAGAAACACCCTCGGTTATAAATTTACGGTGGCCCAAAAGTGTCACGGCAATTTCAATTTGCTCTCGGAAAAATCAACGTGGCCACGGCAATTTCAACTTAGCCACGGCAAATTTCAATTTGACCACGGCAAATTTCAATTTACTCACGGCAATTTCAATTTGCTCACGGCAATTTCAACTTGGCCACGACAATTTCAATTTGGCCACGGCAAATTCAATTTCAATTTACTCTTAATCCCTTCTGCTGGAGTGCATGCCAAACGCTGCGGAAGCCAACAGAACTTCCAGGACCATCTATTATGTCGACAATGGCGTTTCTTAAAAGCTGGGGTGTAAAACTCCATATTTCGATGTAACTTGTAATGTTTAAACTTTCTCTTGGTGGAATAAGGCTTATTGTTATGTTGTAGTGTTTCAGTACGTAACATGTAGAGAATTTCTTGATACTCTTAACCCTTAAAAAACAAGGATTCTAAAGTCACTCTTAGGTTTACCGCCATCTTAAACCGATATGCGTTTTACGCGCAAGTTCTACTGGGATTTTTCAGTAATTCCGCTGACATGTCATATGTTTGCCGTGAGCAAATTGAAATTGCCGTGAGTAAATTGCCGTGGCCAAATTGAAATTTGCCGGGGCCAAGTTGAAATTGCCGTGGCCAAATTGAAATTGCCGTGGCCACGTTGATTTTGCCGGGAGCAAATTGAAATTGCCGTGGCCAAATTGAAATTGCCGTGACAATTTTGGGCCACCGTATAAATGCGAGTGGAAATGAGGAAGCAGCTATTCATTGTATTCGAACATAAATCTTTACTTAGTTCTTAGTAACCGAGCAGGAGGTATGTATGGGAGAATGTTGACCGAGGTCGCCAGTACAGACCCTACCGTGTCTGGTCTGTACCAGCGACCGAGGTCAAGATTCTCACATACAGACCGACCTAGCTCGGTTAATAAGATGTTTATTATATGGCTGTGTCTTATATGCCAATTTTTTATATTCTTTGTACCTTTTTTAGATCTAGACCACTTTCAATATTGATTTCAGCCAATCAAATTCGTGAATTCGGTAGTTCCCAGTCCTTGTGAGACACAGCCATATAATAAATTTGGATAATAAGTAGGTAGGTGGGTAGGTAGAAGGTCGAAAAGGTTTACTTATTCCTAATTCCAGTGCGATCAACTCTTCCTCTACAGGTGGCTGTGCGTGTCAGTAAATTTAACAAAAGAGCCCACGTACTAAATTTGTGGTAAAAAAATTTGTTCCAAGAGCACTTTGCTTGTTGATAGATGGAAAAGTGCTGTCATTTGGGTGTGCCCCTTGTTCTCCAACTTCTCTGTATATCTTGGCGTTGAGCAATAACCTTTAAAAGCTGTTTTCTCTGTAAATCACATGTTTCGTTTAAGACCAAAACAACAAAGATTTTAAGATGTTATACTACACAATACTATTCTTCTGTTATTGCTATTAACAAAAGAACACTGGCGAAAACTCAGGGTTGAGTTGAGACATCCTTACTGTTCCCTGCTCTGGACGTTTTTCGTACTCAGGACGTTTTATGTACTCTACTTGCACGCCTAATGCTAAGATGTTAAAATGAAAAGAAAACGCATAATTCCTATCACACGGATAACACTGAGTATAGTCTAACAAAACTTTCAGCATGGTGTATTTCAGAAGAATGACACTATGAGAAAACAGGCACTAAGTAAATATAATTTCAACCGAGCATAAAACATAATACACTAGAGCACATTCAAAATGAAATCGAAAAAGTAATTGGCAGATATCGCCAACATTAACACAGAAAGACTTGGTATTTGGTAAGATCAACCTTTTTCTTCTTTCAATTAAGTCTTGCGTTAACTTTAGCGTGCCCAAGAACTGAAGAACAAGGATGCAGGGCTCGACACTAACGGTAGCCCACTAGCCACAGACTAGTAGAAATTCAGTTTTGGCGTGTGGTTTTCGATTTCCACTAGCCAGTTTGGCTAGTAAAAAAACTGAAATTGTCGTAACATCAAAGACGTAACTAGCCACTTGGCTAGTAAGTTGAAAAGTTAGTGTCAAGCCCTGGGATGCATTTTTAGTTGTAGCAATTTACTCTAAAAATGCGAAATTTATCGACTCACTTCACAGATAAGAATGTGTATGATAAGTAAATGGAAAAACAAAACAAATCATTAACTACAACTGAAATATTACATTTTTGTATCTTCTGAGGTTTTTGGTGCCCATGACAGGCACGCAGGATCGATTTCTTGGTAGCTGGCAGGCCGGGTTAAAGCCTTTCTCTCATAATCATCAAACAGATCCTAAAATTGTGAATATCAAACAATTTGTCAGTATCAAAGGTGCAATGAAATAAAGTATATCGCACGCCTACCTATTACACCTTTTGCTCTTCATTTATGCAAAATATACACTCATTTACGTCAACATTTGAAACTATACGGCAAATATACATTCATTAGCACTTCCATGAATTTCACTAACGCAAACGAACTTTTAATAACGCTATTTACATATATATTAGCATTCAATAGCATCACTGGATGAACAATTGCACCTTTGGACAAACAGAGATAACAAATATACTTTCCATCTCGCGTAACGGTTAATCATTAACACCAACAGAAAATCAATTGCATAGTATGACAATGGCGTAGTAGAGACATATAATGCAATTTGCATAGAGACGCACAATCAACTGCACCTTCATACAATCGTTTATTCAGAATAGTGAATCATTAACGTGAACTGACAAACATTAGTATTTTTCGAATAAACATTAGGAGGCAAAAAATATTAATTAGTATCATTCATCGCAGTTACCTGTATTTTAAACTACTGAACAAAAACACAATAGTATGTATATTATCATTCAATTTTTTTGTTATTTTTGGCACAATCTTTTGCTGAAGCACATATAAAATGAACAAGTAGACGTATTGGAGACAGATGAAAACCCGAGAAAATCATGCCACCAAGGAACACAATCTCATATGAGCAGCGACAAAGAATTATTCAAGCCTTTGAAGATGTTAATGACGATTATTTGACGGTTGCCGTCACTATCGGAGTGAAACGATCAACAGCAACAAGTATCGTTGCACGATACTTTCGAAAGGGAAGGATCGCGGAGAGACCACGAGGAGGAGGAAATCACCTTCGAGTCGATGATGAAATGAGGAATTGCCTGAATGACATTTTAAACGAGAATTTCCTGCTAACACTAAAACAGATAAATCAAGAATCGAGAGAGCGTCTTCCAAGAAAACCGGCAATCCATGACCGCACATTTGCAAGAACACTTGAAGGTATGTTGTATAGTGTAAAATTGGCAAGGCCACTCCCAACTAAACGAAACCGCCCTGATGTCCTGCAAAAAAAAGTCGACTATGCTAACTGGTTCATGCACCATGCTGTAATGAATCATAGTATATTGGTAGACGAGTGTGGGTACAATATTTGGACAGCAAGTCACGGACGAGCAAGGATGGGAGAGAGAGCATATCGACAAGTATGTGGTCAGCGAGGGAGAAATGTTACTGTAGCACTAGCAATTTCACCCATCAGTGGACTCGTTTTTCACTCAGCATTTCTCGGTGGAATGAATGGACAAAGATTTTATGATTTTCTTACACAGGCAAGGCTAAATCTCGACCCAAATGAAAATGTGATTTTCATTTATGACGGTACACCAGCCCACAACAATCCTGCCATTTCTGGTCCTAATTCTGAGCTTAAAAAGCTACCACCATACCGCCCGTTTCTCAACATTGTGGAGCAAGCAATAAGTGCCTTAAAAGCAGCCATAAAAGCGGACATAAGTCGTCCAGAGCAGCAAGAAGAGATGAACAACAGAGAAGAGGCAAGACGACAAGGAATCGCGCTAGGCAATTTCCGCACTAAGTTGCTACTTCAGGCCCTGCAGAGAAACTTTTAGCACTATCACGGCTGCTAAATGTGGACAGTGGTACAGACTTATACAGACATACAGTCCAAGATGTTTAAATAATGAAGAAATTGAAGGATAATTACAAAACATTATATTACAGTACATTGTAATTGGAAAATTTTTAAATTTCTTTTTCCTTAGTTGATTGTTGTTAATGCACTGTTTGTCATTTAACGTTAATGATTGGCCATTTCGAATAAACGATTGTATGAAGGTGCAATTGATTGTCCGTCTCTATGGAAATTGCGTTATTGTATGTAATTGATTTTCTATTGGTGTTAATGATTAACCGTTGCGCGAGATTGAAAGTATATTTGTTATGTCTGATTGTCCAAAGGTGCAATTGTTCATCAGTTAATGCTGTTGAATGTTAATACATATGCAAATAGCGTTATTGAAAGTTCGTTCGCGTTGATGAGGTTCCTGGAAGTGCTAATGAATGTATATTTGCCGTATAGTTTCAACTGTTGACGTAGATGAGTATATATTTTGCCTAAATGAACAGCAAAAGGTGTAGTCCAGACCGAAATATCGGATCTAAAACATACGTGTTAGCTTTGCACGTTTACCAGCTTCAGTTTCGTTGGTAAGCGATCATTTTACACTTAATTTTGGAGAAAGTGACTCGCATAAAGATTGTGAAGATAACAACAGCCCCATCATAGATGACCGATCTGAGGTTCATTGACAAGATAACAACAGCCCCATCATAGATGATCAAGTTTTAGCTTTTGTTTATTAACCGACTGAAAAGTATCAAACTGATCAAACCCATAAGTTTCTCAAGCTTTATGTTTGTCTTTTTTTTTTCTTTTCTTTTTGACTGCAACTTGTCTGGAATTATGAAAGAAGCATAAATATCACTGGGTGCATTTCGTTTCCGAGTCATTTAGTCTCTGAAACCTAATAAGTTCACAGCGTTAGTTTGTTTTGTTACAGGCGATCAGATGCTAACCGTAGCACGAAGGATGACATGCTTTCCTTTCCAGTACTTCAGAATACCCATATATTGCAAGGTACTTATAACGTCACTTGGATGCAATGCTGTCTCTTGGCTGATATCTGAAACAAACCAAGAAAAACTGGATTACGGCTTAGCTCCCTGAAAATTTTACCTGGTCGTAAAATTGGAAAACTAAAAACACTGTGCCTCTTTGTGTCCCTCGCATTAATGAGAAAATAATCTTACTGTGACCATAGGGAGCCCAGACAAGCGACGAGTCTGGTTGTTTTTTCGAAATATAAAGGAATGTATGGGAGAATATTGAAGAATCTTTATTATCGTAAACTTACATCATGAAATGTCTGAGTTAAAGCTCAAAATAAATGTAAGCCTACCTCACATGCTGTGTATTGTCGACAAAATAGATCAGCCAATATCCAGCCATCGTGACCTCGCGCTTGGTCAATAACTCGTATGTATTAACGTAACGTTGATAACCTGGAGCGCTTTGATTGGCTGTTTGTGGTAGCTCGACTTGATTGGTGTGATACGCAAAACAAACAACTCATGTCCCGCCGTATTACCCCTTTGAAAACACACACGCACACTCACTGAAGTAGTGTTAGCTGTATTTTGGGGGGTACATCTACTCGAGTCTTTAGTTATAGAATAATGAAATTTTTCACCCCAAATGTAAATAATACATGTACTATTAGAACTCACCTTTGATAGATATCCTGTCAAATCCAAAATTCTTCAAGTATTTAAGCAGTATGCTTTTCCAGTAACTGCGGTAACTAATAAGTCCAAGATCTGATAGAGGCTTTTCTGGAGACCCAACCTTCCCTTCCACTTTCGATAGAAGATAACCTGGAGCAAAAATATTGGCAGAAAACATTTCTTAACACCAGTGAAATGGAAACTCAAATTCAAAATGAAACTTAGTCGGTACTTTCTGAACAGGAAATTGAATGGTTGATAGCTCAAGAGAATTTCATTCCGCATCGATATTCACCAATATTGGCAAAGTAAATGACAAAAACTGGAAGGTAAATAAACTGTGGTAGCGTGATATATTCCAGGAAAGACGTTTCACATAACATAAGTTCATGACAACTTTTGTAAGGTGTCATGCAATTATGTTATGTGAAACATCAAAAGCACATCCAGTGATCAGAAAACAATTTCTGTGTCTTCTAAGAAAAGACATCTTCTGTGGGCTATACACAATTCCTGTAAGAACCCAGGTGGAAGTGCCAGCCAGGTTTGATAACACTTACCATGACCTTCGATAGATCACTTAGAAAATCCACCAATTTTCTTTTTTAAATATCGTTTGAAAAAAAAAAACAACAACAACAACAAAAACACAAACTGTTGCAGGAAGCAAAATGAATAATTTTCCGAAAAAATGGAAAGAAAAGAATTTGAGAATTTCACGTTATCTTCTAAAATAAGTAACAGCAGTCAAGCGCAAGAAAACTAAAAATGATTCAGCACAAAAGTTAAATAACTTTTTCATAAACTTTGAAGTGTACTTTTTTGGAGCTTAGCATTGCTCAAGGAAGACATGTGTTTCGCATACATACAACAAAGTATCCAGTTATCGGCCAAGGAGATAACTGGTAGAGCACTCTGGTCCGGTTGTTCGAAAGGTAACTTGGCCACAGTAAATTAGCTTTTTTTATTCGTTACGGTGGCCAATTTACAATTTCAACTTAGTTGATATAACCAATTATCTTGTTACCCCCACCCACGCAGCACCACAGTTTCTCTAGAAACTTTCAGCCTTTGTTCGAAAGGTAGAAAGCGCTTTCCGACGGACAAATCTCTTTGGGTGGATCACACACTGTGCATCTTGTTCATATTTATGATTTATTCGTTGCATAGCGTTATCTGCCCTTTGAACAACTGGGCCCTGGTTTCTAGAACTATTTGTTAGTTATTAGCCCAGAAGAAGACAAAAAACGAGTCCAACGCGCAGTTCAAATTATTAGCAAACGGAAGGAGCATGAGCTTTTTGCAAAGAGAGGGTCAAAGTCTGACAACTGTAAGAGATCAGCAACAAAAGAGATATCGAACTTACTGAAATCTATGAGCATTTTTCCATACCCCTGTTTCATGTACATTGGTAAAGTAAGTATACAGGAGACATTGTAGTTCAGAAAGGACTTCTTCTCCTGCAACGAAAATACCAACCAAAACAGGGTAGTGGATACATATAATTTAAGGTAAGCTTTAGATATAATTTTAAAATTTCACTGCAAGCTTTGGATGAGATTTTGAAAACTGTGCCCTTGCAATTCAGCTTCTTGGCCCTTCACTCCTACACATTTACTTGTGCCTGAGGATAATTACAATTGAATGAAGAAACTTCTTCTTTCTTATTGCTTAACAATGTCTACAAAGCCCACCACAACTGAGAAAAACCACTGTCTCACCTTTGAAAAGTAACCAATCATATGACAACCAACAGAGTCTACAGCTGTCATGACATAAAACAGAAAAGGTTCCACATCATAGTACAGGGTCTTGTGATTAAGAAATAACTTGGCCAAAAGACATAAGTTTTGACAGTACACCTGACCAATAAAAAAAAATTACAAGGTAAGTCCTGAACCCTCTTTTCTAACTAGCATAAATTTGCAAGTACAGTAAACACCTTCTATACAATTGTAATCTTTATTACAGTGTAGCAAGATCGTGGAAGCTATCAAACAAGTTTAATCCAAGTCAACTGATTCAATTACAAAGTAGAAGTTCTTTTTAAACCTTTCAGTCCAAAGATATCATTAGTAATACAATTCTTATGAAGTTAGGTTGGTGAATTTAAGATTGGATCAACTTTTAATTCCCCTAATGATATTTGTCTTTGCTCTTATCACTTGTCTGCTTGATAGGGTATTGATATCATAGGAGAAATCCTGACTTAGTGACTCATGGGACTTCAAGGGTTACTTTACTGTCTATTGAGCGTGTTTCAATTTGTTACAGTTTGGGCTACTGACCTTGTGGTTTTTTCCATCAACTTCAAATATTGAGAGGTCATTCTTTCGATATATTTCAATTCCAGGTGGATGTCTAATGTTGCATTTAGCCTGAAAATTAAGCAAAAATTTCTGCAAAATCATTTATTGAATTCTTCTTGGAGAAAAATCATCTTATGACCATTTCCAAATAATTCAGGTCCTTTTTTTTCTTCCTGTACATGTACCGGTAAGTCTAAAATAATAAAGACAATATCATTAATTTTGCTATTACAACAACAATGAATCTGAATATGAGAGTGACCTTTGCAGTAATGAACACTACTTAGGCAGGGGTCGCACTTTGGCCTTATTTTTTTATGTCGCGTCATAAGTTGTCCTACAAATATGTCGCGACATTTACACCACGGGAGTCATGGAGGTCGCACTTGTGCGACATAAAGGATATTTGAAACCAGACTGTCAACTCTTAATATTTCACGCGTGAAAAGAGCACCAAATAAAACTTTGTAGACATGAAGCTGGTGCTAGTTTTATTAGCGACATTTCTTCATTCTCTGTTTAATTTGTTCAATGTACAAAACCTTATTGATTTGTACGCATTGTACAACACTCGCCAACGGCAAATGTTGGCTCTTGCCGCTTTAAACCGACGTCGACGGATGCGAAAAAATGGGAAAATATCTGCGAGCCAAAGGGTGAAAACAAGCCATTCCCATACTGAAAATAATCAGGTGAATAGTGCAAATTTGTAAATTGGTATGGGTTGAAATTCGCCATAGGGACCAGATAAAACGTGTGTCGAGAAAACCTGTGACTAAAATATTGAACCGATAGCTAGCTGTGCACACGTGTTGTCTTTGCAGAATTGCGAAAATCCAAATTTTTGCTAGTATTTCAGATTTGATCGACGTTGCGACAGAAGAAAAACAAAAATTGTTATTTTAAGGCGATAAGACGAGATATGGCCTGCCTCGAGGCAGGACATCGGCTTTTTT